ATTGACACGTCGGCCGCAATTAAAACGTAAGAGGGCGAGCGGCAAATTGCGTATCAAGTTGGAGAGCGTGGAGTCGGACGAGAGAAGAGCGAGCGGGAAAGAGACAGAGGGAGGAGAGAGAGCCGGTGAGAGGGCGCACTCCTCATATTATCATTGGTGAAATCAACTAATTAGAAATTGCGTAGACCGCTCGTTAAAGATCGCCCCGTCGACCGTAATCGCCAATTACTCTCTTAGTGCAGACCGCGTGCGCGCTCGCGCGCGGTGAACTTCGCTCATTAAAATTATTAAACGCCGCCGGCGAGCCAAGGGCTCGCGCTTGACGTTTCTCCACGCGGTCCCGTGACCGCGACGTCGTCGTGGCCGCCGAATTTTTACGACTCATCGACGCGTCGAGAATTGTAAAATACAAATTACACGGAATCGTGTATTCTCAGTCGTCAAGATTTCGACGAATCCGAAATCCGGTTTTCCTCCCGAGAGAGAGAGAGAGAGTGAGGGGGGAAAATAGAATAGAATAGAGTTTATTTATATCTTAAGATTTAACAATTCCTTAGAACTTACAATGAATACAAATTGAAGCGGCAAAATCGAATACATAAATAATAATAAGAAAAAGAAACAATGCTAAAGACACATTAAAGTGTGCCAATAGCATAATGTACATAGAAAGTCTCAGCAATACACGTAGGCCACACTGTTAAACTATGGCATGTAGCAATAAGAGAACAACGTGACTGAGCGAGAGAAGTTAATGAAATAGAGGTAAAGGCAAGTAGTACCACAGACCATAGATATTACACATTGCAAATTCTCTCTATCGAATGAAAAGGAACGAAAAAGTTGAGTACGCATGTTTAGAACGCAGGTTGCTGATGTTGCACATCAAGGAGCTCAGCAAATTACATGAGACTAAGAGATTGCAGGAAGCAATATGGCCGATCTGCTGCAGTGACGTACATAGTGCAATATTTAAATTACAGTAAAACATACATGCACATAGATATGCAGTAGAGCTAACGATAGAAGCATCGTGCGCAGGAAGAAGGAAAGCGAGTACACGGCAGTATAAAAATGTATAAACAATACACGCAATCATCCACACAGCTAAACGGTAGCGGTGCGCCTTTCTAGGTCCAAGAGATGGCTCATTAATGCACGTCTAAATCCAGAGAGAGAGAGAGAGAGAGAGAGAGAGAGAGAGAGAGAGAGAGAGAGAGAGAGAGAGAGAGAG